CACACACACACACACACACACACACACACACACACACACACACACACTCTCTCACTTCACTTGCTTTTCCGTTTCATCTGTTTCTCCTTAACAAAAGTGTTCTTCCCCCTTTTCTTTGCTCTCCTGCTGCACTCATCCTCACTGACTCATGCTTTTTCTCTGCAGCTTAACGATGGGCGCTTCACCATGACTCAGCTGGTTGGGATGCTACGCGGGATCGCTGCAGGGATGAAGTACCTGTCAGACATGAACTATGTACACCGTGACCTTGCAGCCAGAAATATCCTGGTCAACAGCAACTTAGTGTGCAAGGTCTCCGACTTTGGCCTCTCCCGCTTTCTAGATGACACTTCTGCTGACCCCACTTACACAAGCTCTCTGGTCAGTAAAATGAGTGTGCATGTGTGTGTGTGTGTGTGTGTGCACTAACTTTAGATTTGAAAAACATTGCTCAAAGAAAAGTATATTGTTGATAGGTTATAGTAAAAAATTGTTGACTCATCGTGTATTTACCATCTTTAAAACAAATACGTGCACAACTCTGAGCATGTAAATGAGTGTACCTTTAAGATTAAGACCTTGAAGCTCGCTTTACTCCACAACCTGACAGATTGTGGGAATTTTGAAAAACCTCCTTTATTATGAAGGCTATCACGGTGCTTCTCAAGGCTGTGGAAGTAGGGGAGCAGAGGGTGTTCCAGCACCCCTTGTTGGATGTCAAAGGACATGCATCTTCAAATACAGTTAAATAATTATTGAACACATGAATAAGACTGGTTTCATTTGTGATGCTGTTTGAATTCCAGCCATATTTTGATATAACCATGTTTTGTAAATCTGTTATATGAAGAAACACTTTTGATGTTTTTCTGTGTGCAAAATGTTACAACCACCTAAAATCTAGAAAAATGTGTGCAGAGTGACATTAGGTCATGATTGCAGTTTTACAGACACTGTCTTTTCAAAATATACATCATATGTTTCAACTCCATATTCCAGTGTGACAATGTACACTACCAGTGCATTTCACTGTGCATATCTGGTATCATGCTGTGCTCCATACGGGTGTTTAGGGTCATTTGGATTCAAGTGATTAGCTTTAGGATGCAGGTGAAGGGGTATTCAGCTGCATCCACTCTCCCTCATGCATCAGACCTGACCCTGAGGAAAACAAGTGTTTCTTACTTTGCCTTCAGAAGGCAATTAAATAACAGCTGAGTGTGGTGCTGTATTTATTGGCATGTGGAGAGTGTGATATGAATATATTAGTTGTAGTGAGCGTGGCAGTGGATCACACGCTTTATAGCAGTTGCTCTGCCAAGAGTGTTTCCCTCACTGCTGCCAGCACAGTGTGGGCATGGTGGGGTTGTAGCCTTGGCCAGCGGTTTCCAGATGTCAACTTTTGACCCACAAAATAAAAGTTGTAGAGATGTATGACCCTAAAAGTGCTAGATGAAGTATACACACCATCAAAGAACCTCATCAACCACAGCCACTAGTATTTTTCAGTCTATAAGTTGCGTTTTTTTTATTTGCATAATTTGCATGACCTGCGACTTAAACGCCGAAGCAACGTATTTTTAGATTTTTCCCATATTTATAAACCAATTTTTGCTGAGATATGATCATTTTCATTCATTCTGACTGAAAATATTGAACACTACCATTTTCAGCTGCTCAATGGTACGCGAGCAGTATGGCATGCCGTTGTGTCATGTAATAGGTAAAAGTGGCTATTAATGATACAATCGGCTTGCCATACCCTGCCACCTTCATCCAGCTCGCCTGGAGCAACCGTTAAATCAGCTTAATTTTGCTGCGCCTCCCTGGTGAAATGCAGCTTATTTGACCATTAAAGTGCATTTATTAAGTAAAAGTTCAACTGAGACACACCTTTACTATAACGTCGAGCCAACAAATAATTGTTTTTAGGAGCTTATCATGTTAAATTTCAAAGAAATGCACAGTGAGTTGCCCTCTGCACATTCCTGTTTCCGCGTATCGGCTTTTGAAAATGATTTGACCGTCAAAGTGCATTTATTAAGCTAAAGTTAGACTGAGACACGCCTTTACTATAATTTCAAGCAAACAAAGAATTGTTAAGTGTTAATCTTGTTAAATTCTTGTTAAAGTCCTCCTGTGCATGCTCCCGTGGTCGTCATTTGGCAGCCAATCAGTTTTTGGCACAACATCGGCCCATATTTCCGGGTTCGGCCCACATTTCTGGGTTGTCAGCGGTGACGCATAATAGATGCGACGTATACGGCGATGCAACATATTTATGGATTTTTCCACTTTATTAGACATATTTGGACTGATGCGACTTATAGGGCGGTGCGACATGTACGGTGGAAAATACGGTTCTTCTTCTCAAGACCCTATGCTTGGTGATTTATGGCGTATTTGACAACTTTAGGCCAGCATGAAATTGTCAACAATCAAGCCACTTCGATGTGCCCCACATCTTGGATATGCTGCCAGTGCTGCCGCCGTGGAATCCAGGAACTCTTTGTGTTGTCACCATGATACTAAACCATCACAACTTTGCTACAGAAGTTTTGTACATGCTCAAAATCCTCCACACAATGCTCCATCGTGCATAATTTAGAGTTCAGCATGTTGTTACATGCCTGAAGGCCATGCCAAGACCCTTAAAAAGACTACTCATGCCCTGACTGATTTGCACCTCTCAGATCATTGTCCAGTGTGAAGGAGGGACAGGGAAAAATGGTCCTAATGAAGGAGCTGTCAGTTAAATCAATGAAAGGATTTTAAAGTTGTTCATGACACATAGTGTTACGGCTCTGTTGGCTCTAAAAGTTGGAGCAAATCCAACCAAACTGGAAAGTTTGTACATAAAGAAAACAATCTGTAATATCAGAACAAATACAGACTAGAATAAGAGGGAATGCACAACAAAAGTCAAACTAATTGGCAGAGACAGAAGTTGGTGTTAGTGAGCAAAATGTAAGAAGTCATCTGAGTGAACTGTGGATGAAAGTGAGATTCAGTGACGAATCATCAATCTGTATTGGATAAAGTTATGAGGCTGGGACTTTGGTTTGGTGCAGGTCCTATGATACAAGATAAAAGTGAAGAAAAGCAGCACTTTTCCACAGTCTGTGATAAAGGGAAGTTGCACGTCAGGCAAAGGAGCAGAGGGATGGCAGGTATTACCACGACAAGAAATACCCAAGTGAACATCAGACTTTTCTGACTGGAAAGAAGGCTTGGTGATGATGAACAGTCTATTTTCTTACTGAGTCAAAGATTCTTCAAATCGTTCTTTGAAGTAGCATCTCACTGAGCTGCGATTATTGGGACTAGTTGGAAAACAGGATTCATGAGGGAGTCTCCCAAATCTCTCAAAACATTGACAGGGATTCTTGATTTCTTTGCTTGAGTCCCATAGACTCAGAGTCTTACCCTGTGTTAACATGCTCAAAGACCTAACAAGGTTAAGTCAGGTCCTCTGGATGGATTCTTCTTTGTTGAAACGTTTCGTCTTTTTTATCCAGAAGACTTCTACAAAAAGAAGGATCCGTCCAGAGGACCTGACTTAACCTTCTTAGATTTATCTACCTGGATTATTGTGCATGCATCTGGATACGCTCAAAAACCTTTGTGCAATAAATTATTTCTCTAACTAGTCACAGAATTGTCACAGCGAGCTCAAATGTGTCTTAGTTTAATTTTTGTTCATTGTAGAGAGTTAAAGCTGAATTGTGACTCTTTAAATCCCAGAAAATATCCAAGACTGCAGCCCGATATGTCCAGGGCCAAAACATCCTGCGGATGATAAACAATAATTATTAAGAAAACTGGTCCAAGGGTGGCTGCCAAGACGGGTACAAAACAAACGTGATGTGGGTGGAGGTGGGCAATGAGATAAAATTCACTGCTCAGAATACAGTCTACGTCCTGTGCGTACAAAAACAGGCCGATCTAAAATCTGGCGTCTCAGAACGATGCTGCATGACTTGCTGACTGTTTCATCACAAACACTCAGATTTCAGTGACAATAAAATGGAAAATACTTTTCACTCAAAATTCTGAGGCCCCAACTAGTCTCCAACAGTCCCAGCTCAGATAGATAACAGCTTTAGGAAAGGCTCATTAGTTCTTGCAGCCCAGATCTAAAGCCTGTGATCGGAAGGTCGCCGGTTCGACTCCCTGGATAGACAGCCTCACCTGCCTCCACCTCGTTTGTCCCACTCTGGGTCTGGAACCCCACCATCTGCTCCCCTGGCCACCCTAGATGTCAGCTCCCTGCTCCACAGAGGGCTGTGGTAGCTCGGTGGTCTGTGGTTGCCTCAGGAAGGACATCCGGCATAAAAACATTTAAGTCTTCGTGCAAGTTAGTTCACTGTGACTCCTGAAGAAGTGAGCAGCAGAAAGAAGAAGAAGAAACCGGTCTCTGACAACGCTTCAGCCTGCCAAACTAATCTGTGTTTTGTTACTTGAGTAATTTGGGATTATTAGGTCTTCGTTTCAATGAATTGTTGGTGTCCCAAAACACAGGAGCCGTAAAAGTGTTATCGTTGGGATTATTTGATTCAAGACTAGTTTTTGTTCCTTTGATTTGAAAAAGCCTGAAGATTACAGCAATTTTATTCAAAACTCTTGAGGTTTGATTTTACAGAACTAGAATGTTCTGCTGTTAAATTATAATGTATTATACCTGGGATTTATTTTTCTACATCTTGAAGTAGTTGCATGAGAATCCTCTGAAATCGGAGAATATTTATGCAGCTATGTCGATTACAGTGCAGTCTTGGGTATTGATTCAATCCCTTTGTGTGTGCGTGTATGTGTGTGTGTGTGTATGTGTGTGAGAGCAGGGAGGGAAGATTCCCATTCGGTGGACAGCACCAGAGGCCATCGCCTTCAGGAAGTTCACCTCAGCCAGTGACGTATGGAGTTACGGCATCGTCATGTGGGAGGTGGTGTCCTACGGAGAGAGGCCTTACTGGGACATGAGCAACCAGGATGTGAGTTAACGCTGCGCTCTCATGAGTATGCAGGTACCTTTAAACCAAACAAGCCAAATCCACGTGGACGAGGTTGTGCATCTTAAGTTTAGGGAGCAGCTGGGAGTCCCCCTGAGCTGCTGTGGCTTTGATTTCTCATGTGACGTGTTGGACCTGCGTCTGTTCTGTGGTCTTTATCTCCTCGCTGCAGATGTCTGTGCAGCTGTTCTTATTTCCACCACCTTATTTACAGCTCACCCCCTACAAATCCATACTGCAGAGACTCCCTCCTCGCTCTCACAAAGGCACTCTCAGGAAGGGCTTTTTTATGGGCCTTGTTACCTGTCGGCTATCTGCACCGCGCAGACACTACAGCTACAGCTCTGAGCTTTGTCGGAAAGAAAACAGAACTCTCCGGGTTCCTCCTCGCTGAGCAGAGTGCTGAAGCGATGTGTACTGTACTCCTCCACTCGATTCTCTGAAGAGTATCTGCCCTGCATTGGGCTTCAAAAGAAGACTTGTAAGGCTGATAGCAATAAAGCAAAAGAGGAACCAAAATGAAAAATGGCATTAATGTATGTATAACTTTCACAACAAAACCCACATGCAGTAATAAAAGGATCAAAGTAGAGGCTCTCTATTGTTCCCGTAAGCCTTTGTGCTACAGTCGTTGCTCAATAAGCAACAGAGTCAACAAATATGAGATATAAACAGAGGTACTCGCAGGCTGGAGGCACGACACAAAATCAAAGGACAAGCAGCAGGAGAAGAGGAGCGCAGCAGAAATGAATTATTGTTCCCAAATGCCAATTTTTTCATTATTGAGGGGGTTTTAACCCAAACGGCGCTCGTGGAGGCAAAATGCTGTTGCCAGGCAGAACCAAATCGATGAACCAACGTTCTTCCTTCGCTTATTGTTTCTCCTGCCAGTCACAGTGGTTTGAAGTGGCACGTTTGATGGGATGTTTTATAGAATTTGGTTCAGATGTTGAAAAGAAGAATGGAATATCTGACAGCGTGAGCTGCGCAGCTGTCAAACGCAGGACATAATACAGGAACGGGTGATTATTCTTCTGCAACGCGATCGAGCGCTAAACAGAATGCTCTCAATACGAGTTACTCACAGATAGAGAATGTTGACATGTGCTTTGTTGTTTTGCATTCAAGGAGATGCTATTTAAATTAGTTTGCACTAAAAACTAAAACAAATTGTGAATAAAACCCTCTCATTACCTGATGTGGCCCAAAGTGAGTGAGATATTCAGTTCAGTTTATTTGTACAGCACCAAGTCACAACAAAGTTGTCTCAGGACACTGAACAGAAACATTCAGATACATAGAAAAGCCAGTTAGTAAAAGTTCTCTATCTATTTTACTTGACCTAACTGCTGCTTTTGATACAGTGGACCACAACATTTTAATATCGCGATTACGACATATTGTTGGTATTGATGGCACTGTTCTTAAATGGTTTAAGTCTTACTTGGAGGAGAGAACATTTTCAGTGAAAATTAATGACTCTGAATCATCTTCAGTTCCAATGCAATATGGTGTCCCGCAGGGCTCAATTCTGGGCCCTATGCTCTTCTCGTTGTACTTACTGCCTCTGGGTTCTATCCTTAGGAAACATGGGATTTCATTCCATTGTTACGCTGATGATTGTCAGATTTATTTACCCCTAAAGCAGAAGGATGGACATACGTTCACACATCTCCTGGAATGTCTAGGAGATATTAAAGCTTGGTTGGCCTTGAACTTTTTAAATTTTAATGAAAACAAAACCGAGGTGATGGTGTTTGGACCCAGTGGCTCCTGTGAGTCCTCCTCTATTAACCTGGGACCCTTGGAGAAATATTTTAAACCTGTTATTACAGATCTTGGTTTTAAGGTGGACAGTGATTTTAAATTGGACAGCCAAATCAAAGCCGTGGTTAAGTCCAGCTTTTATCATTTAAGGCGATTGGCGTCAGTGAAGTCTTTTCTTTCCAGACAGCATTTTGAAATGGTGATCCACGCTTTTATTTCGACTCGATTGGATTACTGTAATGCACTTTATCTGGGAGTCAGTCAGTTGCTGCTCTCACGTCTGCAGCTGGTTCAGAATGCTGCTGCACGACTTTTAACAGGAACTCGAAAGAGGGAACATGTGACCCCTGTCCTGGCTTCACTTCACTGGCTGCCTGTATATTTTAGGATTCATTTTAAAATTCTTATGTTTGTTTTTAAATCACTGCATAATCTTGCCCCGGCTTACCTCTCTGAGCTTCTTCATCCCTACATACCCTATCGGTCTCTCAGGTCAGCAGATCAGCTGCTCTTGGAGGTACCAAGAACAAGAAGGAAGCTCAGAGGGGACAGGGCTTTCTCTGTCATGGGCCCTAAGTTATTGAACGACTTGCCTTTGCAGGTCAGAGAGTCCCCTTCACTGTCCATTTTTAAAGTTCGTCTTAAAACTCATTTATTCAACTTGGCTTTTAACACCAGCGGGATCTAGTTTTTAAATTTTGTATGCTTTTAAAATGTATGTTTTTAACACCAGCAGGATCTAGTTTTAAATTGTATGTTTTCTGTTTTTAAACTGTTTTTATTTCCACTTTTATTATGTTGTGTTTTAATGTACAGCACTTTGTGTCAGCCATGGTTGTTTTAAGGTGCTTTATAAATAAAGTTGGTATGGTAAAGTTGGTATGGTAAGGAAGCAGCAGACTCGCTGAATCTTCACTTTGTCACAGTCTCCCATCCTGAGCAAACACAAAGGCAACAGTGAAGAGGAAAAACTCCCTTTTAACAGGAAGAAACCTCCAGCAGAATCAGGCTCAGGACAAGCGGCCATCTGCTTTGACCGGCTGGGTTTGAGAGGACATGAAGGAGGAACAAACAAACAAAGAATGACTGATCCAGGTGTACTTTCTATAGGAGGAAAGACATAAAACACATGTTAAGGATATAAATAATTACAGATACAAAACAGGTAGAGTAAGTAAAGACAGCAGCAGAGTGAATAAATGTGGTCAACTTGTCCTCCAGGAGTCTAAACCTATAGTAGCATAACTAAGGGATAGCTCAGGAAGCCCAGACCAACCCTAACTATAGGATTTATCAAAAATCAAAGTCTCAAGCCGTCTTAAAACTGGACAATGTGTCAGCCTCACGGACAGAAACTGGAAGTTGGTTCCACAAGAGAGGAGCCTGATAAATGAAAGATCTTCCTCCCATTCTACTTTTGGAAACTCTAGGAACCACAAGTAAACCTGCAGTCTGAAAGCAAAGTGCTCTGTTGGGAAAATATGGAACAATAAGATCTGTAATATAGGATGGAGCTAGGTTGTTGAGAGCTTTAAATATATGATGATATAATTAATATATGAGCAGAATGGGATTTGTGCCAGACTTGTGTCCTTGGTCTGTTTAGAAATACAAAATCTGGATGTACCAGTTCATCTCAGTCTCATGTCAGAGATACAATTCCCAAATCAAAGTCATAACAGTTTACTGGTAATTAAGCAGATTATACTAAACCCATAATTATTGCTGACCTCCAAAAGGTGTTTCTGCATGTGTGTGTGTGTGTTTGTCAGCAAAATATCTCATGTACCACTGAAAGGATTTTATTGAAACTCTCAGAAGGAAATCACTGGGTTTACATCAACATCTGATTGCCTTTTAGAGCCAGTATGGCTGCCACCGAAAATCAACCCTCCAATAATGGCTATAGTTCAGGGATGTCCAAACTTTTTCACATGTGGGCCAAAACTATCCAGATGAAATGACTCGTGGGACTCAAAAATGTGAATTTAACTCTCAACAGCGTGAACAATATTTTGGAGAAAAAACAAAAGTTTACTAATTTTGGTGGAGAAAATGTTTTAAAATGTTGTAGATCCAAAACATTAAAAGCCTCATAAACACTAACCTTATATTTTTATTAAAAAATTATGTAATTAATTTGATATGTTGGGTCGATGTTATTTTCTTGTGCTTGGAAATTTCACATTAGTCTACTCTCAGCAACAAAAGTGTAATATGAGTAAGTGTCCTTTTAAAAGGGGATCGATCAGCCTTTTGGACCATGGACGACCCAAAAGGCTGATCAAAGTTCTGAAAAATCATCCAGCTGTCAGTCGCTACAACAGATTCATTGAAGGTTTGATAAAGTTGATCAACTGGTATGCAGATGACACCACGTTATATTTATTTAAAAATGTCCATGTTCTCTCTATCCATCCATCCATCCATTATTTTTACCCGCTTATTCCATTTTGGGTCATGGGGGTCGTTGGTGCCCATGTACAGCAATCACTGTGCGAGGGGCGGGGTACACTCTGGACGGGTCGCAAGTCCATCACAGGGCCACATAGAGACAAACGAGACAAACAAACATTCACTCTCTCACTCTCACCTAGGGACAATTTAGAGTTACCAATCAGCCTAACATGCATGTTTTTGGTCTGTGGGAGGAAACCGGAGTACCCGGAGAAAACCCACGCATGCACGGAGAGAACATGCAAACTCCACCCAGAAAGGCCCCTGGACTGGGGTTTGAACCAAGGACCTGCTCGCTGAGAGGCAGCAGCTCTACCAGTTGCCATGTTCTCTCTATTGATTATTATTTCAACTGCACTTTGTTATATTTAGCCACGTTTTATGAATAATTATCCAAAAGTCTCCTTTTTGTTAGAGTCTGTAAAGGTCTGTGGTGTTTTGTACCACAAGGTGAAAATAAAAACATTATAGCCAAAGGTTGGTATTTTGCTTAATATTGCTCATTTTGAGAAGATTGTTTTACATCTGTTTTGCTGTTAAACCTTAATATTATATAAAAAAGGATTAATAACTAATCTGCAGAAAGTCTGCATTGACCTCTTAAGCCTGCTGGCCAAAATGATACCATTCTTAAACTGCATTTGTGGGCCACACAAAATCACTCCAAGGGCTGCAAATGGCCCTCGGGCCACACTTTGGACACCCCTAGCTTAGTTGAATTTACAGATATTTTGCTTAAATTTGGTGTGGTTGTAGCTGACAGTCATTCCCAACACATATTCCGAGTATGATTCTTTGATTAAGATCTTTGCCTTTGTTTTAACTGGTAAAGTCAACCCTGTTTGTTTGTTAGCAAAATATCTCATAAACCACTGAACAGGTTTTAATAAAACTCTCAGAATGTAATGATTTACTGATTAACTTTAGGAGTCAATCACATTTAAGATGGCCACGACAGGCAATCAATCTTGGCAAACGTTGAACTGATCATTATTCTGAGCTATAGTTGCCTGATGAAATGGAGCAACTGCTCCACATTTTTTTTAAGTAGTCGTGTAAATCTATAGTTTTGCTTGCCAATTTTTTTATCTTAAAATGTTGTGTGCACATATCACTTTAGCAATATCCCTAATGCCTGTGATTTGCATTAATTTACATTTTACTTTTTTGTTACACACAAATGAAATTATGTTAGCAAGCAGTATGCTAATGCTCCCCATCTCTGGACTGGAACTGAACAGGGAATGTGAGTAAACTTTAGTGATTTTGGTGCAAGACATTCCAGTGGGTAGGAGTTACACTGTAGAAGAACATAGGTACCGGTAGGTTTTTTGTTTTTGTTTGTTGTTTTTTGCTTGTGTGAGGCAGCACAGAGCAACAGATCCTGGTGAGTGGAGGGAGCATTTTTATCCACTACCATGTACAATGGCGCAGACAGGGGGTGGCCAGGTGTGGCCTTGGCAACAATAGATTAATCTTTGACTACCCCAAGGGCCACTCCAATCATTTGAGGAAACTGTACTTGTAAGCAATTGAAAGCATAGTGTCTACAAAGGATGGGATGGTTGGTATTCATATGGGGGTGGCCATCTTGGATTTTGACATGGCAACCCAATTTTCTATTGTGACTTTTTTATGCCTAGGTACATTCACACCAAAATAGAAGTAGGCACATTGCTTATTTTTCAAGTTATCCAGTTCACAAGATGGATGGACAAATGTGGCAGCAACCATCTTGGATTTGGATGTGGTAACCTAATTTTTGAAAGGAAACCTTCTTGTGCCTTGATGCACCCATATATCAAAATGGAAGTCAGTAACTCACTTATTTTTTAAATTATGCTCACAACACGCACAGACGAATGGACAGACAGTATTTACAATTCCCTCTCTTCGATCTGCGACAAGGGACTAAAATAACTACCAGAACTAAATTCTAGACCTCACTGTTCACCTTTGAGTTGGTTTATTCCAACTTAGCTTGTATATCAACAGGTATTAGCTTACTAGCTTGGTAGTTTCCGCTGTGGAGATGAGAAACTTGTTTTCCCAATTTTATTCACCCATATTAATAACACAACCAGGGGCCTTTGGTTTTATCTGAAATACAGTATTTACAGTATGTCATTTATATAGACTGAAAAAAATGTGTTGATCAGTATTTTCAAAATTGTATGTGTATGACACAGTTTGTGCATTAACACAATACTTCCACATTTAAAATTCTTATGCAAACACCTCTGAAAAGGAAAAAGTCTGAAACATGAGTTATGAGATGTTACAAATTATTAAATAATTCTCTGTACTTGTGTAATTGAACATGTTGTGCATTTTTGATTTACCTCATCCATCAACAGACTGAACAAAAAAGACCTACATCCAAGTTTAATATATGATCTTGTGCATGCACAGCTCACATTTGGAAGTTACTGAGCGAGTGGGATTGATTTTAAGCAGAAACTAATCAGATAGTGACACACCTAATCAAACCAACATGCTAGCAAGCTAATATGCTAAGCTAGTCCTGTTAGAAAGCTCAGTTCATCATCAGCATGCCTCAGGTAGCTGTTAGCATTGCTATTTTCATTCAACCTTTATTTATACAGGTTAGTCCTACTGAGCCTCGGGGACTCATAGCATTGATATACTTCTATAGTCTTGTAAAAAGTGATTTACCGGTAACTGGTTTCCTGTCCCTCAGGTGATGACGGCAGTGGAGCAGGACTACCGTCTGCCCCCTCCAATGGACTGTCCCATGGTGCTGCACCAACTGATGCTGGAGTGTTGGATGAAGGAGAGAAACCTTAGGCCCAAGTTCTCTCGCATTGTTAGCACCCTGGACAAGCTGCTCCGCAACGCCGCTAGCCTCAAGGTGGTAACCAGCACCTACTCAGGGTGAGTCGTGTCCGAAACACGTTTCAGCATCCAAGTTTGATTGGTTCTATGCCAGAACAAGGGTTGATGTTGGACCTGAATGGGTCCAGCAGCGGTTAACAACAACTACTGCTGGCAGAGAGACACGGGCATATTTTTGTCCTGTTTGCTTCAAAATACTGGCAAATGAGCCACAAGCTTTAACAACTTGTTGAATTTACTTTGCAAAAATAAAGAAATAAATCTACCAAGGTTTTCAGATACTCAGTGGGTTGCAAAAGTATTCATTTGGAATTATTTTTATTCTGTTGCCTTACTACTTGAAATTTAAATGGGTTTTTAGTTTGTTTATACATAACAGACCTACATCAAATTCTCCAGATTAACCGAAAAGTGTTGTGTGCATATGTCTTTACCTCATTTGCTTGGAAGTACCAGCCATTACCTTCAAAAGCCTCATATTTAGTTAAGTAAGAAATACCTGTGGGTAATCTACATGTCAGATGACCTCAGTATGTATGTATGTATGTATGCATTCGTTCTTATAACCCCCAGAATCAATATCTGTTGATTCTGGATGCACCAAAGAACTCTTCACACAGGCCAGTGAGAAAATTGTTGAGGAGTCCAGATCAGAGTTGGAATCTGAATTAATAAAATCCCAAACCCTGAACATCCCACAGATCATCATCAAATCAGATGTTATAAAATGGAACGGTTATGATACCACAGTTAACATACCAAGAGAGCATCATCCAACCAAAGTCACAGACTGGGCAAGGAAGTCAGGGAGGCAAACAAGACACCAAACTTAACCCTGATGGAGATGAGCAGCAGATCTGCAGAGATGGGAGCATCTGTCCATGGGATCACATTTAGCTAGACAAAATTGGGCTTCATGGAAGAGCGGGCATATAAAAGACAAGGCTTCAAGAATTAAAAAAAGAGAAACTGTTTGAAATTTGCCAAAAGGCCTGTTGGAGACTAAACATGAGGAAGATGCTGTGGTTACATGAAACTGGTATCGAGGCCATATTTGGAGCAAGCCTCCTGAGAACACCAAACACACAATAAAGCATGGTGGCGGCAGTTTCATGCTGTGGGGATGCTTTCCAGCAGCAGAAACGTTTAAACTGGTCAGAGTTCAGTGTTTCGCCTGCAGTGGTGACCGAGACACGTCTGTTGTTCACTGTGTGTACCAAAAAGAAGCTTTTTAGCTTGTGCGTCTGTATTGCGCGCCACTAGCTTTGCACTACGCCAGTGCCGGCAGTTGTCGATGGGGGTCTGGTTCAGTAGGTGGGGCTCTCGGCTCTGTTGACAGGGTGGGGCACCCTGCTTGTATAATGGTAGGGGAAACGCTGGAGTTGAGGGAAGAAAACAGAAAATCTGGAGGAAAATCTATTTAAAGTCTTTCAGAGTTCACAGATTGGGATAATTTAGATGGCTAGATTTGCCAAGCTTGTAAGGAAGAACCTGAAAAACCATCCAGCTGTACCTGCTGCAAAACATGATTCTACAAAATGTAGAACTTTCTAGAGTGGATACCTCAAACATTCAGGTTTTTCTTTTCCTTTTCTTGTTTATTTCACACACACACAAATTACGTCTTTGAAAACTTTCGTAGAATTTTCAGATTGTAAAGCAACAAAACAGAGAATACTGAGGGGTGAATACTTTTGCTGCTAACTGTACCAATGTTGTTTTCCAGTTCGTTCATTAATTTCTACCATCATGTTGCACATTGTTGTATTGTGTGTGCTTTTGCACATACTGTAGCCCAAATTGACCAAAAATGTAATTAACCAAAAAGCTGCTTTTTATTATTTTTGGACCAAAATTGTCTGAAGGTTTTTGTCATTGTAGCCACAGAAATTGTGCAAACCAAGAACATATTTTCTGTGATGATTTTGTCTCATTCTTCACCATGTGGAGCATTGTCCTCGACATTGTTTACGATGGCTGGAAGAGGAGGCTCAAGATTGGTGCAGGGACAAGAAGCACTCTGCCGCTGGGCTGCTAGAATAAGATGTCACAGGAGAAAAATATGTTTGGCCTGAAGAGAAGCAAGGCTTGTTGAGTTTGCTTTGTTTGAAGCTTTTTGTAGAACAGGGAGAGTACCTGTTTGGGCTTTTGCTGCCAAACAGATGTCTGCCTCCGTGTCTCTGACTCCATGTAGGAGTGGAAAGTCAAAGAAGTTGTTCTTTATGTTTTTCAGCTGCGTTTTTGAAGACGCTGACTCCAACAGCTTTCTTGTGTTTAATCTGAATTCTGCTAGCCTAATATTCTGTTGCACGATTACTGCTGGTGTAGATGTTAGAAACCTCAGCCACTCAGTCCTGTGTCAACATTTAGTCTGGTGCAGACCCGTTTCCACAGACCCTTAAAGGACATTTTGAAATGGGGTTCTAAAGAAAAACCATGAACAACCTTAGTTTGGTAAAATATGATTTATTTTTGCTAATGGCTAGTCCCAGTTATCAATATATATTAGATTCAACGTAACCTTCTGGTTTCCTTAGACAGATAACTTTTACTAATTGGCTTTTATAATGTATATGAAAGGGCAGCACAGTAGCGCAACTGGTAGAGCTGCTGTCTCTCAGCAAGCAGGTCCCCGGTTCAATTCCCGGTCCGGGGGCCTTTCTGGGTGGATAATTTTTTATGGCATGTTGGAGACGAGCTGTTTTAAGACAGAATCAGTCTACAGTAGTCCCTCGATACTTTGCGGTTCGTTTATCGTAGACTCGCTCTATTGCAGTTTTTCAAAATAAGATTGGACATGACACACAATTGGCTGATTGATGGATGAGCTGCACGATCGGCATGAAATTTTTATTTTAAATGAATTGTTTAAAATTATTTAGCACCTGCTGCACGTCTGTGCAGCCCACACTGCAGAAAAAGCTTCCTCCTGCAGCTGATCAGCTGTGCTCCGTGCATAGCGGAGAAGTGGGCGTGGCCAAAAACACTTGCAGGTGGCTGAGAGCAGCAGAGGCTGAGAGCTGAAATCACGGCATTCTGTGCTCTTTTAGAGCGTTTAGAAACATTGTTCAGAATATATATATATATATAT